AGCTTGGGACCGAAGAGAGTACCAGAGCTGAGCCAAACAGTTGAGCACGATATTTCGGGACCTTCTAGTCTTAGAGTTACCTCTATGTTAATACCTGTTAATACCATGTTTGGGTTGGGGATAGTTTCCCCTATCCGAAGATGCTGATAATTTGCGTTCGATTGGTGAGGAGAGAATAGTCAACGTTTTGTTTATAAAAGTTCACTAATAGAATTCTACACATTTTTATTGACGAATTTCCAAGTAAAATTCCACATGATTTTCATGTGACCACACATAAACAGAATCCACCCAGAAGCACACATGAAATTTATGAGTAAAATAAATAGTATGTGTGGTTAAACATGGCTTTTATGTGTACACATATTAAGTACACTCAAAAAATTTCACACGTTTGTTCGAAGTGTTTAAACACTTGATTTTTTAAATGCAGAATCACATTTACTTTAAGTGTATTTAACCTTGGTTCAATGTGTTATACACGTTAATTTATAGTGTTTCAAACTTTGAAATGTTGAAATTTTTTCACTATCCATTCAAGTGTATTGCACATTGGATCACGCTACTGTTCAAAACAGATGGATTTAAAGTGTTTTGCACTTCAATACGATGTGAATTGCTTGCTCAGAAAGGTAAACATCCAAAACAAGAATTGTGACTTTTTCCTATCAACCCGCCTTATATATGAGAACAACCGTGGCCGAGACCGTGGCACAGTGAGATCGAACGAAGACTCTGGCAGCAGCACACCCCAACAGTTCATGATCGAATCCAAAATCAGACCCATTAAAAAGCTCTGGCCTCTGGCAGCTCTGATGTGAAAGCTCTGGCCTCTGGCAGTTTTGTTTATATAATTGTCGATTCATTTTTAGAGTCGGTAAAGTAGAAGTCGATAAAGTAGAATATTGTAGAATATTGAACTATGGTGTGCAAAGCTATTGATATCACCATATGAGGCACATAGAATCCAAGTGTGTCACAATTCAAATCCATAGTGTTCATAGCATAAGATTCACACATGAAATGGATGTGTTTCACAATAAGCGCAAAATTAAGTGTGAGACACATGATGATGGCGTGTGGAATTTTTTGAGTGTATGTGTCCAACACATAGATGTCATTTGTTGATCACATTGCAAAAATTCATGTGTGGGACACATAAAAACAATCTTTGAAATTTTATCAGTGTTGATAGTACCTTTTCAATTGTTGTTCTACAATATATTGAATTGGTTCCGCTTTTTGATAAATCGAAATTCTATCCACCAGACTATGAATATAGCGACTATTATGTTTAGGGGTATTCGTATTTTATTGCAATGTTTATCTTTTTACAAGAAAACGCTGTTGGCAGTGACGTATTTCTATCTGTTCTCAGTATGTTGGCAGTGTATTTCTATCTGTTCGCAGATTTTTAGCAATGTTTACAACATTTTTGCTTCTAACACCAGCAAGCTGCCTGTTGGCCCAGACCTCATATAAATGTCATTGCTGCTTTCCCAACTAACATTTTCAGCTTTGTAAGCCAACTTTTCCAGCGTTGTGCTGTAAAGTAGCTGAAAAGAAGCTGCAGATACAGCTACAAGCAGAAGCTAGCTAAATAGTTTTGGAGAGCGTTTACTCAACTTTCTCACAACCATTATTCAATTTGTCAGTCGCACTGAATAACATCAGCCAATAAACGCTAATGTCACTTCTTTACACACACTACCCAACTTTCAACTTGTAGCTGCAAAACAAAGCTAACAAAGTGATTATATTACTCATTTGATGGCTTCTACACAACCAACCACTCTTGCTGAATAACATAAACATCAAAAGTGCTTTTTCAACACACACAAAGAAAAATCGTTGCTAAAATTAAAAAAACCATTGGTAGAAATAAAAGTTTGCATTGGTTCTTTTTGGTAGAAAGCGGTTAGCTTTCAAAATGAAAGTCGATACATTATCAAATCAAAAGTTTCCCGATCACTAATTTTAAAAGTTTCAACTTTCAAACTGATGTCAAATGAAAAGTATGACAGTGTTAAAATTAAAACCGAATTATTTTCAACATTTTAAAATTAAATGCTGCATTATTATTGTTAAAAATAAACGTTTTCAGTTATAAAAAAACAGTGTTTTCAATTTAATAACATCGTTTTTCATTTCAAAATCTATTAAAATTTGATTGGCGAAGAAGTAAAAATATAAAATTTTAATAAAAAATGTATTTACTCGATATAACAATAAAAATAAATTCATTAGGTATGCCTTCTCTTCCCGATACCAAGATGAGCTGATGCTCAACTTGTTCACGCCATTTTTACTCTTCCGATCCACATGAGGGGAACACCGGAACAGACATTGAGGATGGTGTAACGGAATCGGTAACGGGCATTTGGTGTGACATCAATCGCAACAGCCTTAAGCGAGGAATACTGGGGTGAGTGCTGGTCATTTTCAGGAATGAGAAATGATCGGTTCCACTGAAAATTATAAACAGGTTTAAAACAAACTCTTGAAATAAATTAATGCATGATTACAAGATTCTGAATCCATTCCGATGCCCGATATCCATTAAACTCCGCTATATTTGTCAGCAAATCCATCGAGAGCTTCTAGGATGATCAGAACTGATGCGAACCGTCTTCGGAAGCAGCATTCTGCTTACGGTACTGCAAAAGTAAAACGAATGAAAACCATCATCGAACCATTTCCAAAACTCCTCACCTTGATGATTTTCTCCTGGATTGCTTGGATTGTTTCCCTCCATCTGCCGTGATAATTGCCTCCAATCCGAAACGCAATTCCGGGGGCTGGGAGAAACCGGTGAAAGTAAAGTGTGGGAATCTGCTTGTTTTTAGTCGAAAGTGGCGGTAAACAGAAGTCCAGTGCTGCCAAAAACTTTGCTCTGAAGAAGTATTTTTGAAAGTATGTAGTACTTTTATTTTTATTTTTTTTTTTTTTTTGGACCTTTTAACAGTTGTCATTCGGGTCCTTACTTTTATTTTAAAAAAATGCGTTTTTATAATTACAAGTCGAAATTGAAAGAAACACTTTTAAATCAAAAATCAATTTTTATTTTGAATATTTTCGCAGTTAAAACTACGAATTTTGCGAAACTTTTAAATTGAAATTGCATTATTTTTATAGCAACAATTTTTGTTCTTTGTGTGCAACTAAACAACCTGTACTCAGCTTATAAACTGTGTTAGAGCAACTTCGGAAGCATTTTCACAGTCAACTAGGTTTATTTTTAGACGTGTGCAGTTTTACCAACAATCAATACGAAACTAACGATTTTAAATTGGCTCACCACTTTAGTAGCCTATTGGTCCCAAGCAAACGATTAACGTACCCTATTCTAGTTGAAATTCTATTACTACACTATGTTTGTTTTGATTCGCTATGAAAGTTTGACAGATAACATCAGGGGTGTGTGGATTCATGCAGGTGAGTGAAATAGCTTGGGACCATTGTTCTGGTACTGAGTGAGCCAAAAATAATAATGATTTTCTTCGGGACCCAGTGGTCTTAGAGTTACCTCTATGGTTTTACAGCTTTTACTCTGTTCTTTTATAACTAGTCGAGAAAAGTGATTCATGTGTACTATTATAAAGCCTCTACTCAGCGAATTTGTTGTAGAAGGGAATGTTGATTTTTTACATAAGTTCAAAGTGGTGGCGTAGCACAGTCGGAAGTGTCAAGGTTTGCCAATGAGGTCGTCTCGAGTTCGATTCCAGGTTCCGGTGCAGGGTGATGATTTGTAACTAATTTCGATTAATTTGATTCACAGCAAAATAAACTCAATACATTCCTTCATAAAAAGCGTAAACAGTATTTAACCCAGCTTCAAGAGAAAGCTGTGTAGTGATTATTGGATAACCGGGAAAAGGTTGAATAAGCGCCTTTCAAGTTCACACACAGCTGAACAACAGGATAACAGCTGTATAGAAGCGTTAATGGATATGCAATAAGAGCTTCTCCCGACCGTTCCAACAGCCATAAGTAGCTGACTAAGTTCGCCAGATTTGCTTGTATAGAGGTTGAGTAAAGGTTTCCCCATATCGTATAACGTTTGAATACAGCTTGAGACTGTATAAATGAAATGAGTAAAGCGTTTACATTGTGAAAATTGTTAGTTGGGTTATTCAGGCAAAAATATGCTTCTTCAGCTAAACAATAGCTTATTCAGCTCTTAATCAGCACAAATTGTTTGTTGGGTTGCCTCCTGTTGTATATATATACTACCTAGGACTACCCTAATAAAATTGTTATGGTTATTTTGCTTAACGACGTGTTCTGGGTATCATCCAAACCGTTTATTCAATAGTTTTATCATTTGGGTTATTATTAGTGTATTGGGTTGTTTAACTTCAAAAAATATACCAATGTTTATACATCATCTAATAGAGCTTCGTTTTCTGAGAACAACGATATTTTTAAAGATCCCGTGGACATTCATCTCGATTTTTAAATCAAGATTTAAAGTTTTGATCGTTGACATTAAATCTATTCGTTGACAGCTCGTTTCCATACAAAGTCCCACCTAGGGGCGCTAAGACGGTGATTTTTGGTAATGTAATCGTACTTATTTAAAATAGTTCCAATTTAACGAATATGTATTTACCTCAATACCCCTAAACAACCCAATTGTAACTTTTTATCAGGGTAGTCATATTTCATTGAAAAAAAAAATCCAATTTCTAACCAAATGAGCGATTTGCAAAACGTGAACGAGAACTGGCGCATTAACGGTAGGTGTTTCGACAACTTAAAGTTCTGAAGGTCCAAAAATTAATTTTACTTCATATTCCTACCTTCTGTAACGAGCCGACAACTGACAACTAGTCGCGGATGCAAAATGCGAACAAAAACCTGTCCAAAGAGCAATCAACAGATAATCTGATGACGCGATGGTATTGGTTGGTAGCGGTCTGGTGATGGTGATGGACTTTCCTTCGGAGCCTTTGGCTTCATATACACTTGTCAGTGAACTCGGCATTCGCGTTCTTCGGTTGGTCGCCGCAGCACACACAACAGGAATCCCGCACAGTCGTCAGCGCCGCGTACGCGTTCGTTCACCGTTCGTTTCCAACCGAAAATGGAGTAAAACAAAGATGGTGGAAATTTTTCGCACCGACACGGGAAATGGCAAAATTTGGCACTGATTTTGTGATAGACGTTGCTACTTCAATCGAAATACTGTGAACTGAGATGTGTGCTATGATTTGCGGCAGGGTTTCGCTCGGGAGATGTCGTGTTTAAGTGAGAAATCAACTTTTCAACAGTGCCTGGTACCGCACCCGAAACGAAACGGTTGTTAAGAGCAAAGAGAAGAAGAGCCGGAAAAAAATCAGTCATGCAATTAAATGTAAACAATTTTCCAATGTGAATTACATAAGCAATGTGAAAATCTTCGAGCGTCAATTGATTGTAGCTAAAAATGTGATTTCTTTTGGAGAAAAAGACTGAAAATATGGTGTGCCTATTCGACGATGAATGTGAGTGGACCCGCCGATCGTAACAAGCGGTGGTGAAAAGAGCAAGTGAAAAAAGTAGTCTCAAAGACAAGAAGTAACTGTAAGGGCAGGTTTGGCTCGATCTCTTTCTTGCATACAGCGCGGTGCCAGTAGCAGTGGAATGAATCAATTTGTTCTAAACATACCGTGAGAGTTTACTGCGGATGGATATCAGTGAGGTGTAACGCGCGTATGACAACGAAATTCCAATTAGTCATTTTAAAAGGAGGCCGAGTGTTCCTGCGGGGGTAATTACTGGCATTGCTTGAACACTTGACCGTCGTCGTCTTCCAGCGCCAATGTTGACCAATGAAAGTGCGGATATACGGTTGTAAACAATGGAAACTGAATCGGTAAAGTCGGAACCGAGTATTAAAACAACGAGGCGTTCAAGAGGACATAACGGTGGAAACAGTAGTACACTAGGATCGCACAGGGATCGAACGAGACATTCGCATAGGAATAACCATTCGCGAAACAAACGACCCGATATGGCACCGTTTCAAACAAGTGTCAATATCGGAGACGACAGTCGTGATGGGCAGGAGTTGATAGAGGTGCAGATATTGCCACAAGATGAAACTTGGGGCGAGAATACGACGGCCATCACGGGTAACACTTCTGAGCAGAGCATTTCCATGGAAGATGTCAGTTACTGGCAAATGTCCGATGATACTGGAATCGGTTTTGCTTGCCAGCGATATCTGGAGCGCACGTTATCGGTGATGCTTTGCGCCGTTGCTTTCCTAAGTCCTCTTGTGATGGCAGTTCTACCAAAGCTGGGATTTTTCCCGTCAGCGTTCGATAACCTGGATCTGACACAGAACGACAGGTTACAGCTGCTAGCGTGCAATGCAGAATGCAAAGGAATGCTGGTGTCGTTAGCAGCCAGAATGCTCCTGCTGGCAATAGGTCTGTGGGCGGTTTTCATGCGGAAACCAGTTTCCATCATGCCCAGGATATTTTTCTTCCGAGCATCCGTGTTGCTGCTGGTTCTGATAACTTCTTTCGCATACTGGTTGTTCTACATTGTGCAGGTGACCGAGGGAACCAAGGCGATTGTTTCCGGCTCAGAAGCAGTGGATTATAAGACTCTAGTATCGTATGCTACCAATTTCACCGATACTCTTCTGTTCGTGCACTATGTGGCGGTTATATTGCTGGAAATACGACATCTACAGCCCATTTACTATATCAAAGTGATTCGCAGTCCGGATGGTGAATCGCACAGCTACAGTTTAGGACAACTCAGCATACAGCGGACGGCTGTTTGGGTACTGCAACGTTACTACACCGAATTCAGCGTCTACAATCCATATCTGGAGCGGTTGCCAGTATCGAAATCGCAACGCAAGGCACTGTCTTCTTTCAAGTATTACGACGTTGACGGTGCTAATCCAGCTCAACAGCATAGCCAATCAAGAGCTGTGTTGGCCGCTCACGCCCGACGACGGGACTCTTCGCACAATGAGCGGTTCTACGAAGAACACGAATACGACCGACGGGTCAAGAAACGGAGAGCTCGTTTGGTAACGGCAGCCGAAGAAGCTTTCACACATATCAAACGACTCCAGAATGACCAGCCGCAACCTCAAGCACCGGTTATTCCTCTGGATCCCCAAGAAGCCGCCCAGGCCATCTTTCCATCAATGGCCCGGGCTCTGCAAAAGTACCTTCGAGTGACCCGCCAGCAGCCACGCCACACCATCGAATCAATTCTGAAGCATCTTTCTCACTGTTTAAAGAACGATATGTCTCCAAGGGCCTTCCTAGAACCCTACCTCGTGGAAGCCCCGGTACTTCAAAACGACAAGGAGCGCCGAACGAACCACAATTGGGCCTTGATATGCGATGAACTGTTGTCGCGACCCATTTCCGATGGATGTACGTTCCAGTTGATACAGAACGACGTCTCGTTGACCGTGTCGATCAACAAAATTCCTCACTTTACGATCAGCGAAGAGGTTGTCGATCCGAAGTCGAACAAATTTGTCCTGAAGCTGAATTCGGAAACCAGCGTGTGACCTCCTCGTGCAGGACTAGCTAGCAGCAACGTGGTAGACCAAAGCGAGCGCCGGGAGATCCTGAAGCAGTTGAATCTTATGCTGGCCGGAAAAAAGCGCAATCGGAAGGTCCAGGATCGATTGGTTTAGGTCGGCGATGTGGCGACTACGGAAGTGAGCAATTATCAAGTGCTAGAGTGCCTCCGAGGGTGGGATTTTTCGTCAGGTTTTTGAGTTTTTATGAGTTTCCGCGGATGTGAGCGTGACAGAGTGAGTGAAACGACCGGTAAAGGGTCGTCATCAAAGAAACGGAGCGTCGTAGGAAGTGTATAATTATAGGGTAGTTTCTAAGACCTTTCGGTTGTGTGTAATTATGCCGGCGAAGAATGACCATGTCGTGCGCGGTTGTTTTCTAAACAGCAGAGGCGGCGAATGACTGAGAAAACAGTCACAGAAGAAATATCAAATGTACATATTCGGGGCACGTTCGACGACAGCTCTTGCTGGGCTACAGCGCCAATTGCTTCAAAGGAAATCGCTTCATTAAGCATTCTCCGGCAGTGACCCATAGGTAAAACAGGACAGCAGAAAAATTACTTGTACAACCAGCCCAAGAACACGGGCAAACATAATAGCAAATTATTAATTTAAATCATAATACGCTTCTGGGGATTTGCATATCATTACGAAATCAAATCAGCTACATACAGAGTCGCATATAAACCCCGTGAATGAAGAAGAAAAAAAAATATATCAGGTACATACTCTCTTCAAAAGAGAATGCGAAATGACCACTGCAACCGCCGTGATGATCACACAGAGGAGTCATTATTGATGAACAAAAGAAAGGGGGAGAAACACTGCCAAAGTAGTTAACATTTTTGGCACGGTGGGTCGTTGAAAATTACGTACGTGGTGAGCAAATGATTGGTTGCGATTTTCATCGGGAGAAAATGTGATTTTATTTAGCACACATAGCTTGACGACAGGTTTTGCTAAATTCCAGAAATGAAAAAAAAATGCGAGCCGCGATTTTTTTTCTGTTAAGAACTTATTAAGAAACTAATTGGCATTTGTTTCTGCATTGTATCTTATTAGTTTTTTTTTGCAAAAACCTATTTTTTAACCTAATTGGGTTGTTTAGGGGTATGCAGGTAAATACATATTTGTAATCTGCATTAAAAATGGAACCGAAATAAAAAATTTCATACACTGGAACTATTATTTTAAATAAGTGCGATTACATTAGAGAAAAAAAACTATGGGAGCGAGCTGTCAACTAATAGATTTAGCACAGACAAGCAGACGTAACACTCACTGCTTGTTGTTCATCGAACAAGCATTTAACGGTCAATTTAAAAGTATCTTAGTTGGTATTACCGTCACATGTGGCGCGCATAATCAATTTCTTTACGTTTGACGTTTACACACTTCCGCCATCTTTTCAGCGTACTGCCCACCACAGTATACTCAACAGATGGCGGTAATGTTTCAACGACGATGTTTTACAGCGATAATTATTCAATGTGTTATGTCTGTTTGTCTGTGGATTTAGTGTCAAAAGTTAAAAATTTAAATCTTGATTTGAAAATCAAGATAAACGTCAATCGAATCGATAAAAATATCGTTGCTCTCAGAAATACATCAAGAAATCATCTTTCAGGTGATGTTTAAAAATCGGTATGTTTTTCGAAAATAAACAATTGGGTTTCAATTACGTATCAAACATGTTTCATCGTCAGCAAACTAACTGAACTGTGTATTTACAACATCGACTCTTAGGGATGTTTGGTTTTGCCAAATAATCGATTATTATTTTTCATTGGTAATGAAGCGCCCAATCGTTGATCTTCATCTCCATGCGGCCGAATTAGTTTCAAGGCTATACAGTTGCGTGCATCACTGCTTTTCTTAAAGTCAACATGTTCATCCTTACTATCAGAGACGTTGAATAGAGACACGCATAGACTGAAGCAAGAATAACCAAACTAACTAGTCAAACGCTGAACTAAACGAGCAAAGAAAATAAACATTACTGTTCGCTCAATTCACCAGAAAGGAGTTTTGTTCTCAATTATGAAAAAAGTGTTTAATTATTTTCACGAAATATATTTGATATCTGTTATTTATTTACTTATTGTTGATTCAATTAAATACAACATTTTTTAGTGGTCGAATCGAACTCATCAAGGTCTCTGCTTACCATCAGCTATGAGAACGTCAAAACTCCACTCCCCGCTGATTCTTCCAGCTAAATACTCAGCAATAGCAGAGAACAGGGCTTTATCACCGGGTCTTTGTTGTAACAAGAATTGCTTCACAGTCCTCTGGCAGATCCTCTTACGCTCCTCAGGCTTGATGACTGCTGATGTTCCAACTATCACGCAAACAGCTGCAACATCTGATCTGGCTCCTGTCAAGTATGGTCCAGCATTGGATACACTTTTATTGATTGCATCAATAAGCTTGCACCTAACACCAAACACCTGCTTGATCGCTGGGTTTGTCATCATCTCGTCGATACTATCTCTTCTAAAAATAGCACCAGCTAGAGGCGTCAAAACGGTGATGTCACTCTGACATGAAACCTCAGTGTACCTATTCAAGATATACAAGCCAAGAATTGTGGCTTGTTTCACAGTGAGCAATAGGACATTACCTGCTACCAATGCTGGTTGAGCAATAGGGGCACTTCCATAATTATAGGTAGAAATGACGATCTCCCCTACCGTTTGGATTTTGTCATCTGTTGTTTTGTGCTGCTTCCAGAAGTTGATAATGCCGTTGCTAAGGGCTGTGTTCTTGGCTTCCTTAACATTTGCATCGGTTGCTGAGTCAGCTTGACCAACAAAATCAATCTCCTTGACTTTTGTCATCCGCTCATTGGTAACTTCTTCCCAGATGCGAATTCTCCATTTCTTGTCAGCGCCACGTCCCTTCTTGACTTTATTCGCTGCAGGCCCAATGAAATAGATTATCTTCTCCATCACCTGCAAGGCGTTGTATGATGAGTTCAATTCAAAGGTGTCCACCATGCTAGGAATGATCTTCGTTGCCTCAGCTAGCAGTTCTGGAACATTCAGCCTTGCACCACCAATTTGACCTGCCAAATCCTCAGTTGCAGTGCCAAATCCAGTTGCTGCTTGAGCTTCAACTAGCCGGTGAACTGCTTCCTTTGATGCATCTGGCATTGCTGCCAGGTCGAGGTCTTCAGGCCTCTTGTACTCCTTGACACCTTCCATCCTTCAGTGGCTCGTAAATTGTTTGTACCCAATTCACACAGATTGTAGATTCCGAGTGATTGTATCTGTTGGCAGGCGAGTAAAAATATGACTGATTAATAATTTATGGCGTTAATTCAGAATTCACAAGAAAAAATAATAATTGCTCATGCAATAATTCGTGCTTTATTGAGCAGTCAAACTAAATTTACTGTTCACTAATTTGTTAACTTGTTGAACATGAATTTTAGCTATAGTCCTCGCTATAGTCGCTATATTCTTAGTCTGGCGGATAGAATCTCAGGAACCAATTGAGCTGTCAATTAGCGGAACCAATCGAGCAAATCGCGACCAACAACAGAAAAGAGCATATCAGCTATTGCGAACAAAACTTCGGAACCCTTGTTCTCGTGACTCAAGACTCGCCTACGCAAATTAATACCATCTTTGGGTTGGGGAAAGTTTCCCCTATCCGATGATGCTGGTAATTTGCGTACGATTAGCGAGAAAAGAATAAGAATATAGCGACTATAATTTTAGCCAGTAGAAATTTGGCGTTTCTACACTACTTTATACTGTGGTTTGTTTCCGCTGTTACCAGATGAAGTGCCCAATCGTTGAGCGGAACTTTCTTCCCAACATTAAAAGTCTATGCTTTTTATAAGAAAATTACTCTCTCTAGATGATAGTTTATTCTAAGGTTGGAACTGTGCTCGTCCGCACCTGGCAAACCTCGAATTAAGTAGCTCATCAGAACAACTGTCCGATTATACGTTATTATACTAAATTCCAGTATGTATAAAGTGAGATAGGTAGATTTGATTTCTGTCGATCTTATTTTCCGTGCTGAGCACGAATGCTACCGACGCCAGGAAGGCAGCTCCCACACCTGGACGCTACCTATTGACCCATCAACTCATGAACCGAGGACCAACGGCTTTACTGTAAATAGGTAGATTAAGATGTTAAGATAGCATATAGACTTCTCTCATTGTTCTGAGGCATAACATCTCTGATCACGCCCTTTCTTCGGAAGGGAAGTAAAGCCGTTAGTCCCCGGTTCATGAGTTGATGGGTCGATAGGTAGGGTGCAGGTGTGGGAGCTGCCTCCCTGGCGTCGGTAGCATTGATGCTCAACACGGAAAACAAATCAAGGAAAAAAATAAGACTTCTATCATGGAAAGTCGGTGTCTACTTTTTACATGGATGATACTCCCCACCGTAGGAACGGTTATCTACGATGCTTTGTTTACATTGAGCTTTCGTGAAGCACCGAATGGATGAGTGCACCCTTGAATTTGAGTTCACTCACTCGAGAAAAAGTGACACAAGCTGCGGGCAATGTTTACTAATCATGAAAACTAAATGTTCATTATTCATGAACATTTAGTGTTCATGATTAGTAAACATTGCCAGCAGCTTGTGTCACTTTTTGTCGAGTGAGTGAACTCAAATCCAGAAAAATTTTCTCAACTACAACTTTGCTGAAGATCGTTTCTATGTAAAACGAGACGGGAAAAAGTTATTATTTATTTAAGAGATTGGTAAAGTTATGACATGATCAAGCAGCTGCTCTGTAGGCAACACTGTATTTTGCAGTGTGACATAGTAGCCATGATTTTTGTGTCCTATTCAACGCCCCAGAAACACCAATGTTGCCTGCTGAGCAGTTGATTGAGCATGATCATAAGACATCAGCGCATTGAACCATTGATAACTTTCGATCCTTGCATTAAATCAAAAAGTGGTCTTGGGCAAAGTTGTAGCTGGGAAAATTTCCTACAAGTACAGTTGAAAGCTTTTGAAGTAGGCTAATATGGTGAATTATAAGATAGACATGAACAAAAATCTTGGTTTTACCATAGTAATTCCCATACAAACTTCAAATGGTTTATGCCATCTCAGTTTCTCACCAAAGGGTTTCAAATTTTGAGAGGTTAGTCAGGATCCGATTTGGAATCGTTTAAGTATTGTGGAGCGAAAAAGTCAAATTTTGCATCAGTCTATTGACCATTAATCTGACTTTTCAAGCTAAATATTCTCAGACATTTATATACCTCTTCTGTAACGGAAACTTGTAAATATAATTGTGCTGAATACGGTATACCTTAATTATTAACAATTATTTTAATTTCGAGTTTCCTCAATTAAGGCATGTTATTCAACCAGATGAGAAGCCTGAAAATATTTTGTTTTCATGTGCTAAACAGAACCTTCTCATAACATTTGACCAAATTTCAAAATCCTTTGTCTTGATCAGGGCTGGCAAATGTCATTTTCAATGAAAGATCTCACGTGGTATTTACATATGTACTTCTGTCACTATCATCGGATGAGAAAACGATGATAGAGATTTTATTCAAAATCTCATCGAATTTTTCGTCATGGCAGAACGTGACAGTGTTGTGATCATCGTAATTACTAGCTCATTTATTGCTACACAGAAAAACAAAACTACCCACCGCTTGGGTT